AGAGTGTTATTATACTAAGCTAAAAACTTACTAGAGTTCTCATCTTTAATACACAATTAAGTAAATTAGCCTAAATCTAAACAGCTGTTAGTAAATGGGTTTAACATTCTGGAAGGAGGAAACTGTAAGATCTTTATAATTTTATTACAATATATATACAATACTTACATTATACTTTACAAAGTCTACAATACATTATAAGCAATGTGACTTTTTCCTGATAGAGTCACAGGAGTGAATAGAAATAAGCTAGCAGCTTTCAAGAGGAGGAAATTTTGTACAGAGAGAGACAGGGGCCCAGGAGGAGTTGGTAGGATAGTTGGAGCGTGCCAGCGTGACAAGAGTCACAGTCTGTTCAAAGGAGCGCTTTTTGTGACATTTCCCTCATTTTTTCTTGCCTCTCTATTAATTTTTTGGGGCACTCTATGCCTGTATAATTTTTACATAGCATACTAATCATAGTCTAGAATGTATATAATAGAAAAAAAACAAGAAAAGTTTTGTATAAAAAATTATGCAGAGGGTTCAAAAGGTTGTGTTTAAAGGACCAGTGAATGCCTGTACATGAATGTGCAGTACGATTCTCATTTCACTGTGCGAAGTCGATTAGTGAAGCAAGCTAACTATGAAATTTGTCCTTCTGTAGGATTGTTTCTCGAACAATATTGTAACACTACACACAACCTGAACCTATCTTCTCAAATAATCCATAAAGTCATTTCTTTATCTACCAAGTACAAGCACAGTAGTGCAGCTATATCGGCAGCCAAACTTTATACCTGTCTTGTCCTGGCAGTTTACCCTCGTCTATATCAGATTGAAGTGAGTCCAGAGCCGAGCAAGCCATTTCCCATGCACCGTTATCGTAGAAGTAGTCATGTTTTGAGATATTAGTAATTACTCTCTGTATTTTTTCCAGAGCCTCCTTCAAGGAGTTCCATCCCTTTTCTTGATTAGCAATCCTATCTGAGTCTGCCATGCTTTTGGCATCACTTCTCGGAAGATCCTTTTTTGTCTTCAGCTCTTCAGATACCTTTTTACAAGCACTGATATACGACGAAACACTTCTTATCAACCTATTTACCATCTCTTCACGACTTCTTTTGTCAGTTGTATACTTCTCATCGTACCAGGCGTCACTTGAATTTCTAGACGTATTGTCGGCTTTGTTCTTGGAATGGTGACCTTTGGTCTCATCAGTTTTGTCTTGATGAGTAGACATTGTGCCTAGGAGTAGATGTAGATGCTGCTAGTGCCTTCACCTATGCTCAATGGTTATCATTTCTTATATAGATAAATAGATTTCGGTCACCCATGGAAACCATCAACTGCAATGATGTGCTAAATATCTCTCAGCCCTGTTGACGTTTTCAGGAATGATCTCAGTTAAAACGACTGCTTTGCAAGACAAGGTAGGATTGCCTACTCAACAGGCTATGCGGTCATCAATAACGGAGTGTGATGTCTTTGTATCTTGCGTAAAGTAAACTGTAATACTGTCTTTTACAGTAAATGCACAAGGACTTACCGTTCTCAATTTTCTAATGTTGCTAGGGGAACAGTATCTTCGATGATTCTAGAGTTGCAACAAACTCATGCGGAAGAACTCAAGAAAGGGACAATGCTAGGTGTTGCAGTCTTGAATCAGATTTCCTACACCTTGCATTGATTATTCATTCCGTACTAGTCCAGCAGCCGGGTATATACAGTCTTGATGGACCTTGCTGGACTTGTACTTGCTTAAATTGTCGCCCGGGGTTTGATAGGCATGAACAAAACATATTGCATATGAAGTATCCTCACCTTGGAATCATTCCTGGTATCTGGGCTGGGCGAATATAATATAAGTATGAGGAGACGGCATACGCAGCGTTGCTTCTATGCCTGCAACAATATTGGTGACATTCTCCGAGGAACAAGGCGACATCGAAGCATATTACAGTGCCTTCCATATGGCTGGAATCCGATCCGCGCCGTTACAGTGCACCGAGAAGAAAGGGTATTCTTAAATCATGGAAGAACGAACGATAGTTTCCGCTCATCTTAATTTAATCATTCCTTCCAATATAAATCATGCAGCTGATACATGTTGTAAGTGTTGATATCATGAAAGAATCCTGACATTATTGCTTTATATCCCACCGATTTGAAAATAGCACGATCTAGAGCAACTTGCAGCGGGTAGAAGATGTCGAGTGTGAGAGTATGAGGGTGAAGGGACCGACAGCGTCGGGATTCGGAGATCATGACATAATTGGGCCAACCCGAGTCTTGACGCGCATATATCTGGTCTAATTCGTCTTGGAAACTCATCTGGCTGGTGTAGTTATTATAACTCGTGAATATGTCTAACAGAATGAACTTGAATATTGATAGATCCCACGACATTCATCTCCTTCAAAGCATTGAAATTCATACTGAATTGGTCTTTCGAGAACTGATTGAGTAGAATCGGATGTGGACGGAACGATTCGCACCGTGCCAGGCGTACTCGCGGCGCACATCTGACGCATATATAAGACATCTGAGCCTTGGTCTCGTACTTCATCATCAATTTCAACTTGCATCTGCATCTACGATCTACAATCTACGATGTCTACTGAAGAAGTCACCCGCCTCAAGCAGGAGGTTAGCTCTCTCCAGCAGGCTGTTCAAGGCAGCAACGCCGGTGAGCCTATCTATGTCGGGGATTATCTCCTTGCTAGGCTGGAGCAACTCGGAGTTACCGTGCGCATTGCTGTTTATTGTCGGTGACGATGATGGACTGATGTCATATTAGCAAATGTTCGGAGTTCCTGGAGACTTCAACCTTGGTAGGTTGTATGCGTTATCTATAGTGTGATAAACGCTGATATGCATCGGCTTTCTAGGCTTCCTTGTATGCGCGCATCCTTGCCATTCTCGATAACGCCCTGTACTAACTTTCTTGTCAGGACCTAGTCGAAGATAACAAAAATATAGAATGGGTTGGCAATTGGTGCGTACCTTGTGTGTTCTATTTATGCCAGAACTCACGTAAATTTAGCAATGAACTCAACGCCGCGTACGCTGCGGATGGTTATGCTCGCGTCAAATGGAGGAGTATCGGTGTGCTTCTTACCACGTACGTCTATCGCAGTTTTCTTTACTACCTTCGATTTGACACTCGATGTTAGGTTCGGCGTTGGAGAGTTGAGTGCAATTAATGGACTTGCTGGAGGTCAGTAGCATTTTCAGCTGCAACATAAATTGCATGTTCCAAACATTAAGTCTTGCATTATTAGCCTTCTCCGAACATGTCCCAGTCCTACACATTGTCGGTGTGCCAAGCACGACCCAAATGAAGACGAAGCCTATGCTTCATCACACGCTCGGCGATGGTCGTTTTGATGCGTACGAGAAAGCCGCACAACAATTCACCATCGCACAAGCACATCCTCTTTCTAAGGATACTATTGCGGCAGAAATCGATCGTGTCCTTTCCGCCTGCGTTACCACTGCGCGTCCTGTGTACCTTACCTTACCAACGGACCTTGTATATGCAAAGATTCCATCCGGCCGTTTACTTACTCCTCTCCCGACTTCTCCATCCCCGAACGACCCTGATGTGGAAAAGTTTGTGCTGACCGAAATTCTCAACTTAATTAAGGAGGCAGAGGGAGAGGTGGTTATCCTGGTTGACGCTTGTGCGATTAGGCATCATGTTATGGAGGAAACGCGCGAGCTTGTCCGAAGAACAGGCTTCCCTGTTTATTCTGCGCCAATGGGCAAGGGAGTGGTAACTGAGAGCGACGAGCGTTATGGAGGGGTATGTCATCCAATGCGTCTGATAGAAACACATCTAACGATATTTGCACAGATTTATGTTGGTACCCTCACTCGTGAAGATATTAAGGAGAAAGTAGAGAGCGCAAAGCTGATTATCTCTATTGGTTCGCTCAAGAGCGATTTCAATACTGGAAATTTCACATATAGCATTCCGACGTCTCGGACCATCGAGGTGAGTCGCTAAATGCGCTACACACAGTACGACTTGTGTCCTAAATCGACGATATTTAGCTTCACTCCGACCACACGCGCGTTCGCTATGCGTACTATCCTAACATTGTTATGAAACACCTCCTCCCAGCACTCACTGCTCGTCTTGAGCCCTTTGCACCAAAAGCCTCCAAGCTACCCGTCGCAGATAACAGTGCCCCTGTTCCAGAAGACACTTCGCCCATTATTACACATGATTGGTTCTGGCCCCGTATGGGCAAGTTCTTCCGTCCCAAGGATGTCATTGTCGCAGAGACAGGAACGTCTTCATTTGGGATTTTGGATGTACCATTGCCGCAGGATGCGACGTTCGTGAGCCAAATTCTCTGGGGATCTATTGGTTGGACGGTTGGAAGCACCCTCGGTGCTGCATTTGCAGCGAGGGACTTGGGACTCAATCGGACTATTCTTTTCATTGGAGATGGTAGTTTGTGAGTTTGGCTTGCTTCCATTCGATTCGGGTTATGGAGGAGACTGATCGCCTCGCGATAGGCAATTGACAGTCCAAGAGATATCGACTATGATCCATAGGGGCTTGAAGCCTATCCTCTTCGTGCTCAATAACTCGGGATATACTATTGAACGTCACCTTCACGGAAGGGAGAGGTACGTTTCCACACTGAAACGTCAGACTTTCCTGTTCACTCATATGCTCTCCGACGCAGGAAATATAACGACATAGCCAATTGGAAGTGGACTGAGCTACTCTCGGTCTTCCAAGGCAGCACCTCTTCGCCGACTGGTAAATCGTACACCGTGAACACAAAAGAAGAGCTCTCGGCACTTCTGGACAACCAGGATTTCGCCTCGGCGAAGGAGATCCAGCTCGTCGAGATTATGATGGATAAGTTCGACGCGCCACGCGCTTTGAGAAAGCAGGCTGAGTTGAGCGGGAAGACGAACAGCTATGTCCCTGTTAGTGTTGGTACGAAGTGAAAGTGAGATCGACTGGACTGGTGAATGAAGGGAAATTTTCTAGTTCGGACAATGGAGAAAAGATGAAAGGACTTCGTAAGTTTGTATCAATCAACATGTTATTCCATTCTGTTTCGTGATTGTAGTACAGATTGTATGCGCTTGATTCCTAACGTAGAATTCAGTTGTCAATTTTTAACATCACTAGATACCTCACGGTATCGTGCCTGGAGTTACTTATCACAAGTGCGGTGCCGTCACAGCGGACGAGATAGGCCAATAGTTCTGCTGAATATTTCGAGGGTACTAGTCCTCAGCGTATATACGGTCACGTGAGCACAAGACTTCCTGTCGCGTCGCGAATCGCGATAAAAACAAACCTTTTTTCTTTCTGGTGCATTTTCGACCCTCGCTATCTCGGTCATGTCACGGAACGAAACACCTGCTCTAGACGAGCTTATCCTGTCTAACGACATAGTCAAACTGCTCGGTGCAGATAACCAGCGCTTGAAACGCGAGCTTCGAGAAGCTCAGCAAAAAGCGAGTAATGCCGAGGCGAAACTGAGTTTCGCACTCGCAAAGGTCTGTAGCGAGCATCTGACGATTACTGCCATGTCAATTAATGACATTGGTGCCGATTCTGTTAGAACGAGTCCAAGGATACGTCTGAGGAGCTTGCTGCTGCTGATCGAGTGCGCCAAGTACTTCAGGAAAAGGAGGAACTTGAGTCGAGATACGAGAGGGAGAAGGAGGTCCACGAGGCACATTTTCAAGAGTGGAAGTCTAAGTACAAGAAGGAGAAAGAGGAGCGAAATACCCTTAAGTCGCAACTTGACGCGTGCATATCGAATAGGATACGCTTTAGCATTGAAGAGCATGTGAGTATATGCGCCTCTTTGGCGTGAAAACTTAGCTGATCAGAGCTAGCCTGAATTCCCAGAACTACAACGTCGTCAAGCACAGACACAGGCTGAGCTAGCTGAGGCGAACTCGGTACGTTCCAATGGTATGCACGAGTCCTATTTCTGAGCACGTTCGTTTAGAAAGTACAAGGCCTACTTCAACAAGTCGAACAGATGACGAGAGATAAGCACGTAGTCAGGAGGATTCCAGATGCTCCTAAAGTAAGTGAATGGAATATCATACATTATACTGTATGAAACTAATGTGATGCTTTGTTTGCAAGCTGAGTGAAGTTTGGGCGTTCATAATGAGCATCCAGAATCGACCAGCGTCCATGGACATCACGATTCCCATACCAGTCATGAAGGACGATAGTGAACAGTATGAGACAGTGAACGAGCTTATAAGCGTATGTATTTCTCTTTATAACGGGTAACTTATTCATTCACATACTCACTCTTTAACTGTAGCAATTAAAACGCAGAAAGTGCGTTTCTTCATTTTATCGCTATAATGTGCTCTGTCACTGAATACGACACAGAATCGTGCAAAATCCAGTTTTTGAACTAGAAGAGACTGTCTCGTGGTTCATGGATCATCGAGGCATTGGGATTGCCCTTTACCCGTTTTATAAATATACGCCGGACGATTCGTCGTGCATGTGGACGAAAACTACAGAATGGGACAAATTTGGGACCTTTGAACTTCTTCGAGAAAGACACGGTTTCTGGTATTATTATGGAACCTATACCTCATGGAAATTTGTGTGTTGCAATGACAATACCTTTTTTACGTTCCTGCCACCTGTGGTTAGTAATATTGACGAGGCTTGTACCTTTTGTTACTGATCCCTTTTTCTAGTACCAAATGGTTCTGCTAGATAAAACCTTGGAGGGACTAGACGAAGTATCTCCACGTACCTTCAAGGAGATTAGCGACTCCTATGCACTGGGCACTTTGCCTGTACTCTGCATCGGACTGGAACGGATTGGGTTCAACCAACAGCTCTGTGCAGCGCTTTGTGAACACGGGAAACTCGTTGATCCTCCGCTATACTCGTCTGGAATTTGTCCAGAGACAACTACGTCACGAAGGACCGCAAGTATCCATTCAGAGGCAGCTCGAGCGGTGAAAAGGCCTCGAGTAGAGTCCCCAGAATCGTCGGACTCCTCCGACGATTGAGGTTTGACAACAGCTTATTCTATTATCTCTCTTATACGCATAACTCTTTCTTAATTATTATATTCCGACGCGTGAACCTCCTTCACAGTCAAGTTTCGTTCGCTCGCGCTTGTAGTGAAGCAGTGCTTTAATGTGTATATCCAATGACTTCTTGTATTTCACTACTCGGGGTAAACTACCACGGATCTATCAGCTTGACGTTTGATATATTATTGCGGGGTATGTAGGGCCATCCGCGAAGATGGATTGCTGTCGGACGGAAAGCCAGAAAGACGAAAATTAAAGGGCGGTCAAAAGGAGGCTCTGTCGCCATCCTGTTAAGATCTGCGATTGTCGATCCACGATAAGAACAGCGCCCGTGTCCCTGACGCGACGTGATGTTGACACGTGATCGTTGTTCTATCACTGATCCTGCTCTAAAGTCTGACAGTCTAGTTGACATACCGTCCAACGATCGTGCCTTATGTTATGAAACAGGAAAATGTCTGTGTTTCTGCACTTGCTGAGCATTCATTTTTTTTTTGAGAGGAATGGAAGGCGTGAATACGGTGGAAATAATGAGACCGTCGGCTACGGGGATCGGGCACGAGGCCAACTCCGTTTGGGCGAACCAAAGTCAAAATGTTGTAAACAGTCGCGTGTTGAGCCTGGGAACAGCTCCTCTGGTCTTCTCCAGGTTCAACTTCCTGTTGACCCCCGTGCCCTTCTCTCCCTCCGTCGACGTCCAGCTGTCTCAAATCTGTCGCCATCAACGACGCAGACCCCGTCGACGCGACAATAATGACCGCCCAGCATGCCCCACCGCCGTCTTCATCAACGGCGAACGACACTAACGTTTTCAGCATCTCGGACGCGCATCTCGCGCAACGCTATCAGTTCATACGCGAGGTTCGTTCATTCTCGACGCGTTTCACGCTCTGTAAAATTAATGGGTAATGCCCGGTATGCTGTAGATTGGTGCAGGGAACTGGGGATGCGTCTGGCTTTGCTCACCCAAGACTGATGAGCCTCGCGCGCAGGCGCTCAGCGATGACACTGCTCGACGCGTCGCTGTTAAGCTCGTCTTTAGAGAGAAGAAGCCCAACACCGCGCAGCGTGTACGATCATTGTCAGTGTTATTTACTTGTTTAAACATTGCTCTGGAGAAACTCAGCGATTTTTTTTTCACTTTGCAGATGGAACGAAATGAAGATTGTTCGAGCGCTCAAGCAGGACCCTCACCAGTCCATTATTCCCTTCCACTCGTTTATCATCACACCTTCATTTGCTATCATCACAATGTGAGTGTCTTTCTCTCATCACGTATTTTGTGTTTTTTTTTTGTACGGTTGTTGGCGTTGTTCGTCGCTTGATGAAACAGTGGTCGAACGTGCACGCTTGGGCCTAAGTTCGAAGCAAAGTTCTATCCTTGCACGCTTTCCAGTGACCGCGTTGTCAACGGTTTGACGCGTTCAACGTTCATATCGCGTCGTCGCTAGGCACTAGGATGTTGGATGGTGTATGCTTCTATCAGAACAAGCGCACCAAATTTGGTCCCGTGTCACTGCTTCCCGCACGCGTATTGCGCGTCGAAACCTTGTACTTGATAGTTCCACTACCTCATCTATGGTATAGTAGAGAGACGCGTTCGAAAGCGCGTCTTGACTTTTTGCACGGTGTTTCATTTTATTTCTATTTATTATCAGGCTTTTCGATTCGAATTTTGCTGATGTTTCCTATCTTCCAGGGAATACCTTCCATATCTCATTCCGGTTGAGGTTCCTGAGTATAGAGCCCGAGCTTGGTTCCGCAGCCTGCTGTCAGCTGTTCATTTCCTGCATTGCAGGGGTGTTGTACATAATGACATAAAGTATGGCGATCTCATTTCATCCAGAGGTTTTCCTTGCTAACTGGTTTGCGCATAGGCCAGCGAACATTCTCTTGTCAACAAGGAAGGTTCCAAAATTCGTTGATTTTGGATTTGCGGAAAAGTACGAACTTGGCTCGAAGCGCGCTTTCTTGAGCAACTTGGCATATGGCACCCCCGAGGTTTGTCGAGTCTTGCTTTTACTAATTGAAAGGGTAGATGTTGATGAGTACTGTTTTCTGTAGTATTTGTCCCCGGAACGAGCTCGTGGAAAGACCCATGACACGCGAAAATCGGACATTTGGTCACTCGGCATCACCTTTTTCGAGATTTTGGTTGGCCGGACACCGTTCGAGTATGTGGAAGGCGAAAAGTTCACAACTCCTGAGGATCTTGAACGTTATTGGGCTCGCACTGTAAATGGGCGATTTTTTTGGTATATTTTGGAGAAAAATACTGAATATATGCGCTAATTAATAGGTCAAAGGAAAGTGGGTGGGCACTTGGAAGATGTCTAGCGGAGCAGAACGTATGCTTCGCAAGATGATCTGTCCGAGTACCGAAGAGCGATGTACTGCTTCGGATGCTATGACCGACCCGTACTGGATGGAAGAGATTGATGCAGACGGGATGAGCGTGAACTCCTCGCTGATGATGATGTCTACTCCGGCTCCCGGCAAGACGCCGACCAGAGTAAGGAAAGGAGAGGGGAAGCCCATGACTCCTATGGGCAGGGAGAATATGCGGCCGCTCGCTACAAAGCGGTCTAACCTCGTTCATGATGGTACGTCCTAACTTGATGGTTTGGTATTGATATTTCGTTCATGGTCCATTTGTAGACAAGACGAGGTCTGCTACCCGGCCTTCTCGGCACGTCTATCCGCACGCGCTACCGACTATTGAAGGTTCTCCGTATTCAGCGCGGACAGCTGCTGGTCGGGAGAACGTTGGTGCTTCTCCTTACCGCTCTCCTCGAGTTGCGAGGACACGTCCTTCCGTTAAGAGAAAGCCTGTACCCAAGTTCGATGAAGAGAATATGTCTCCGTTCAAGAACAAGGGTAAAGGCCCTTCAGTCCTTTCGCCAAAGAAGGATCCGAGCATTCGTTCCGTACGGAGTGGTATACTTGCTGACACGACGTCACGCGTGCACAACATCGGTACACCAAGGAAAGTTGTTGCAAGTCCGCGTGAAAAGGTGAAAGTAGCAGAAACACCCAGACAATTCGGAAGTGGCAGTTATGACCGCGTCAAGGCCTTTGAACGGCTCAAGCAGCTGGAGCGTAGTCGCTTCCTTGAGGAAGAAGAGGAGGAAGATGGCCTAGATGATCCGATGCCGCTTGGAAAACCGTCCGAAACGCCGGAACGAGTTCAAGACCGGATTCAAGACGGGTCTTCTCCCCCTAAATCTTCGACGCAGTGTATGACTAGTCCATCTCTTGGTACATTATCTGCTGCGACGAAGGTCGACGACCGCAGCACTCCGTCTCGTACCTTTAGTCGACCCAGGACAGCGCCATCGACGAACACGCTGATGACGGACTTCAAGAGTACGCTTGTTGACCGGCGCATTTTTGAAGAGGATGTTCCCGTCGAAGGTACTTTTATTCTTTTGGAACATCGTAATGAGATGTTGAATGTCTGTCCAACAGCAGAGTCGAAGCCGCATTTGCTTGACTCACTTCCTCGCTCTGGACATGAGCTGTCACCACGTTTGTTCAAGCATGGATTTAGGGCCTCAATTGGTAAGTCAGAATAATGGTCTTATCCTCAGGATGGGCGATTTAATTAGAACATATAGACAAGACTTTGGGTCTGTACAAGTCGTCTATTGGTCGAATGAACGTGCGGAAGACGTCCAAACGTGCTTCAGAGGAACTAGACAGGGGCATGACTCACAGAGAGTCTTGGGAGAACGATTCGCTCATTCGCGATGGTAGGTACTTCTCTGCTAGTTCATTGGACATAACTAAGACAAACAAACTGCTCAACAGCCAAGACATCCTTGCCAGTTGTGCGACACGCCTTGCACTCGGATCAGGTAGTCGCTGATAATAAGGCTGATCGCTTGTCACTCTGGATGCGTAACGTCGAACGTAAGTACATAAAATCGTGCACAGAATATCATTGTTTTCTGATTCAAGACATTCCATAACAGAGGTCGTAAGGGAAGCGAAAGAGAACTTCGCATCCTCAAGTGTCCGGCCGGTACCGTCACTTCCCGCTCCTCCCGCCTCTCGCGCTCCTGTAGTCCGCGTTTCTCGTCCTTCTCGTGCACCTCGGAAAATAATCGCTGTCGACCAGATCTTCCAGGAGCCCGATCCATTTGCGGCTATTCCTCCTGTTGAACCATCTGGGCGTGCGACTCCTCCGAGGACATCCCTCGATATGAACACGGCACTTCCGGGTCCTTCTACAGCGGTACTTGATGTCCAGAAGAGTCCTGCTAAGGGCCGACGGGCAACAATTTCGACGTCACCGAGTGTGATGCCCGCTCCGATGGACACTATAGATGGAACCCCGTCGAAGCGGAAGGAGAAGGCGAAATCTGCCAGTGACTTGGCTAATTTGGTCAGGCCGATTAGTCCACTTAGCCAACTTCAAAAGGCATTAGAGAATGGTTCGTTTTTATCCGTCCTTTTTTTCGGTGTTCGGTGCTGATGTTGCTTTTTGCAGAGGAAGAGAATAGACCGAACTTGTCAGACTTGCTCGATAGAAGTGTATTTATTGCACCTGCCTCAGGATCGACTCCTCCAACCGACAACGTTTTGCCTCGCCCTGCGTCACCTCAACAGCAGCAACAGCAAACCCAGACGCGTCTGTCCTCGACTCTCAGTCTGACGAAAGCGCCCATTGTGTCCAATGTTCTGCGCGAAAGCACCTCTTCGCCTATACTCTTCACTTCTCCACGGAAGCAAGAAGGCGTTCGAGAAAGGCTATTGGGAAGCACGTCAGGAGCCAAGCGTACGAAGCGCATCACCAAGGCTCAGATATCGGCCCCGGCTCCAATAGAGACGTCCATGCCAACTGTCCCGATCCCAATGTCCGCACAGAAGAAAACTAGCAGGCTATTCGGCTCTCGTCAAGGCCGAATGACTCATCAACAGAGTTATAGCGACGACCTGACTACCTCTGGACCTGCACCCCCTGGGACCGGGACCGGTGCAGACGACTTCGGGCTCATATCTTCGATGTCGTTCTCACATAGCGCGTCGTTCAGTAAAGATGCGAGTAAATCTGTGAATGCTGTACGGAAGGCGTTCAAAGCCATTGTGACTGGTAAATCTGTCTCGCGACGACAATCGTCACAGCAGACGAAGGTACCGGTGTAAATGAAATTTTTTATTGTTGTTACATTATCCCCTTTTTCACCCATCTCGTTTTCCCTACTACTCGATTGTGTTTATCCTGTTTATCCCCTCATCTGCCCGGCTGTTCATTTCTTATTTGTAGTATCGGGACTTTGTTCATTCATCCTCACGCCCTGTTTGTTTGTGTTTCTTGACTCTGGAGTTATTAATCGGTTTCATCGTCCATTGTCAACGATGTCTTGTCTATTATCGGTTTCACATTTCATCGTTTCCATTCTCACTCGCCCTTGTTATATTCCTTGTTATTCTATCGTATTCTATCCAACCCCATACGCTGATCTTGCTCTCACACGCTATCGCTGTTGCTACATTGATTGACGCATGATCTTGCACGCCTCTTTTTCTTCATGAACTCTTGTCACGTTTCACGTTGCTTTCGTAACATTTTAATGACGTTTTCTCTTCCTTTTTCACCCTCATCCTTCATGACTTTTGATGACGTCCATCCTCGCTGTAAAGAAGTCATGTCACGCCTCTTCCCCAAACCCCCGATGTACATTATTATCACGCTCTTGATGACCAACAGTGACGTTTTGCTTTTGGGGCTGTGCCTCATGATAACTACTCAGTGTGCATGGATCTGAGTGTTCTGAACTGTCAAGAAGTGATTTCAGGGTAATGTTAGGCTAAGTGAATCAAACTTAAGTTAGAGATTAAGAGTCGACTTGTAGCTGGATTGTAGGATTGCACTGTTTGATTTAGCAACTCCAATACCGATGCTATCAAACAAATGTCAGTCAATAAAACGTCTGAACGCGGTCACGTGCGACAATGAAGAAAGCGCAATAAAGTACGAATTCCTGTTTATCCACAATCGACAAACTATTTCGTATAAACTCTTGTCGAATTTTACTCCCGCCGGTCCTATGTATTTCATTCCCTAATTGGTCATGGACCAAGTCACCAAGACAAGGTGATGTCTTAAAATATCCATCATGTGATCCTTTGATGGGCGTCTATCCATTTTTTGATAACGTAAACTGTAATTCCACAACTTTAATCAAACTGGCACAGACAAGTCTTGTTTACTTTTCCTTTGGTCGCCTATCGTCTGTCTGGCTCCTCTCAAGGGTGTGTACGGGCTCCAAGCACAGTCATTTTTATGTTGCCTCGTGTCAAGGCCACGCGTTAATGGACCCGTGCTGTCTTGGTAATGAAATCATGATGAACACCAGGAGACGCTGAAGGCTGTACTGCTTTCGGCAGATTATCTTTACTCCCTAATAAACGCAGGCGCTCAGGGTGTTCTCTGTCTCTTTGCCTCCAACCACCATGATGCCCGAGTCCAGCAGCATCCCAGCTCATCGCTCAGCTCAAGCAGCCTCCTCGTCTGTGTCGGAGGCCGGTGAAAGCGCGCAGAGACTCGAGGGCATTGAAGCCTGGCTTGCGGAACAATCGAGGCAAACATACGCAAACAACACGACAACCGCCCACGCGTGGGACCCGTATCCAGAGGATTTTGATGCTGAACGTCAGTATTGGCCCTCGTCTACACACAACTCTACTGGATTAGACTCGACCGAGCCTCTTGTCTCTCGATTCTCCGATTTTGCTGCCGATCGGGATGCTGCTACTGCTACGGCCCTTGCGCGCCATCAAGGTCAATACGTCAACCCGTTTCGGGAAGAAAGACACGCAATCCGCTCGGTTCCTCTGGCACATCCGAATGCTGGTTCTTCATCGCGTCGAGTGGACATCCTTGCGCGCAATACACTACGCGAGATGATCGTATCTGCTGTTCTTCTCGATTCACTCTCTCCTCCAGAACGTGTCGCTCTTCTGGATGCATACAGAGCAGAAGCCGAATCATCCAAGCTCGGCATACCGTTCCGCGAAATTCTGAGCGAGCCTATGGAACCTCTTGGTATAACACCGCTTATGTACGAGATTATGGGTTGCACACCTGAATGGGAGATCATCGACGCGGGTATACCAGACTTCGGCCTCGAAATGGTGACATACTTAATTACGCAATGGTCCGACAATTTTACAAAGTATGGGAGGATGGGTGTATTGGAGAACGTTATTCGTGCGGCGTGTTTGAGAAGGCTGGACGATGATTACGAAGGGAATAAGCTGTTTCATTACCTTCGTGCACGGACATTCGAAGTCCAGCTTGACGAAGGGGAGAATTGTCAGTTCTTTGACTACGACGTCTCGATAGCACCGAGCTGTGGTGCTAATATTCGTAATGCGAGCACGAATCCGTCAGACCTGGACTTTACGGCTTTGATTAGTGTACCGCAATTTGCGACTCGGCTTGCTCTTGCCCAATCGCAGATTTCTGCGGCGTTCAACGAGGCGGCTCATTCTACTGGTAGGAAAGCACCAGCAACCGTTGCCCCTACCTTTGTACCAGTTGAGTTCATGGCGGCAAAACGCGCCTGGTGTCTAAAGCTTGATAGTAACTCGTTGCGGCTCGAGCTCCTTGACGGACCAGGTGGTTCGACGACATGCATTGTGGGTGAAGACTCATCGCTTATGACGGACGCGCGCGTCAAGATCATATCGCCCGAGTGCGAACAACAACTCCCGGCCTCTGGTCAACTTCCAATGGACCTGCGTATCGGCTCGCCCGTCGAACTTCTGCTCCCACGCAGGTTGCTCTCCCCAGCTGCGGCGCCAGAGACCGGAGCAAGCGAAACAACGCTCTCCCCTTGCTTCTGTGCAGCTCCTGGTGAGTTGAACGGAATACGCGGTCTCGACGATACTCGCCTATTACACGACGGTAGAGGTGCACTATTACTCGAGTTAACAGTTCACTTTGTACATACACCTCCTCCGGGGTTCGCGTTCGTCGACACTCGTGACACAGATATGTCTCAAAACGTAGATGCCACGCCCGTTGCTGGTCCATCTGGAATCGCAGACGCACACATGCGTGAATTTGAAGACGAAGATGACTTATATATCACCTCGGAAATCGAAGAGAAGATGGGTGATCTCAGTGTCAACCCGAAACACGAGGAATCAGAGTGGGAGGAACTAAGCCAGGCCGATGAGACAGAAGCGATGCATGGCGGTTGGGTGAAAGCTAGCTGGAGTGGCAAGGATGAAGAACTTTGAGCTGTGAATATCATGCAAACCTGTCTTCGCTATCATGATTCCTTTGCGTTACAAATGTTTTCGAATTGTTGTTTTGTACATTGTTGTCACACTTTTGATATTGGCCATGTTAGTAGCAATAGCAGGTCTCTGTAGAATGTAATGCAATAACATATTATTTACACAGAACCCAAGGGGAATAAAGTAAAACCAAGAACAAAAGGTAATGTGCTACGTCTTCTTTTTCTTCCCTGAGGGACCATCCTTCTCATCTGCCTATGAAACCACGTCATTTAGTATGCATGAGACGTTTGAGTGCTGAAGCAAGGACAGACCTTTCGCTTCCCACCCTTCCCTTTACCTGCCACTTTTTCCTTGCTCTTGTCACCCTTTCCTGGTGGAGGCTTCTGTGACACGGTGAAGAATCCGTCTAGCCGTCCTTGTTGTTTCGCATTCAAGTACTTCGCAAGCTTTTCTGCTCCTTTTCGTACACGTTCCTCGCTGAGAACCAATGTACTTTAATCAACTCGACAATAAACCAAGTCCTATACTCACTTGAAGCCCTTTTCAGTGACGAGGAACTGTACTAGCCCGTCCACGTCAGGTGCTTTCCATTCGAGATCGACTTTCTCTGCCGGTATTACATCAGGTTGCTCAAATACTTTCTTCGCTTCTTCCCAAGGCCATTCATCGGGTACTTGAATACCACCCTTTTTCTTCTTTCCCTCTTCCGCTGCCTCCTCTTTTGCAGCCGTTCTGAAAAGGGAAGACACATGTATATAAGCGGCGACCGACAAATCGAGAAGAACTTACTTTTCTCGCAAGTGTTCGATGACAGCACCAAGGTCACCATAGTCACGAACAAGTTTAAGTGCTGACTTGGGACCAATACCTTTTATCGGCTCTAGATAATCACAACCAAGGAGAATACAAAGGTCGATAAACTAGAAATTTGATAAGTTGATAATCGGTAATAGAAAATACCACGAAGCGGACCTGTGACATATTCATCTCTAATCCTTCGAGAGCCTTCTGAAGATTGATCTCGCTAATAGGTTGCTTCTTGGCCTCGGAGAAAGTTAGATGTCGATAGAGGATGGGTGCATTAAAAGTTAAGGTGTCCATGTCTTCAGAGCCTGCAGCGTATACCTAAATATCCAGAGTCAATCATGAGATGATGGTGAATACTAGTATAGTACTATAGACCTTTCCTCCCCGTGCTAGTTCTGCACATTGCGCTTCTGCTTCTGACGGCGCCTATAAAGCGTATAAGTTGCAATAAATGGGCGGTAAACATTCTAACTTACAACTACAACGGGTATCCCCATAAGACCTAACAACTTCCGACATTCCTCGTTGTGCTCTTTCGTCACTTTGACTTGTCTTCTGGTGAAGCGTTCCATATCTTCTGCCGTTCCGGTCTCTTTTGCCTCTTCACCTTCCTCCTTAGCCTCTTCTCTCCTCTCAAACCGTTTTGCGAGCTACATGACAAGCAAATCAGCTAGTATTTTTATGACCACTCCACTGAAAAGACGTACGACTCCGGACTTCAAGTCTGGTGGCTTGCCATCGAAGACGTACGCAGGTTTAATCCCATTTTCCACAATTCGAATTGTGCGATAGAAAAATCCCATTAAATGACTTGTCGTCTCCCCAGACTCGTTTGTCAAGAGCTCTCCGTCCTTCTGCCGGACAGCAATGAGGAACTGGTATATCGACATCGACGCGTCGATGGCAACTTTACGCCCAAAGAGTGTCTTGATGTCATGTTCCTACATTCAAAAATTATCAAGACCTTCTTTAGCAACTTAAGGAACCTGTACAAGAGGCTACTTACTGCAATCGCCTTTGGCGCATGCTGAGAAATAAGAGCAGTAAGACCTTTGATACCCATAGCGGAAGCAGGAGCAAGAGAATGCAAGACGCGTGACGCCGCCTCCATAATCGCGTGACGTAACGTATCCTCACATGAATTATGTAATAAAAGATTTCTTCGCCAGGGCCCAGCAAGCATAATTAGCATATACTTGACTCTTTAGCACAATCCACTTCAAGAGTCAGTTCATTCAGCACGGAAATCATTACTCAAACCTTAGCAGATCGTTTCTTCCACCACCTCTGCCCTATAGAAACCTTGTCACAACTCTTACTCCGTCAAAGTAACCAATTTTGACTGACTTTTCAGCTCCAGAGTGCTGTTGCTGGCTCCCCAAAACCAATCCGAAGGCCTCACTAAGCCATTCAATCGGTAATAGCGATGGGTGGTGTGTTTAAAGTACAGGGGTGTAATAAATGTGAGCTGATGACTCACACATACTAGAAATTCCTTGTTGAAGAGCAATAATTGCAATACTCTATCCCCAGCACGACAGAGTTTCACAAGATTACCCAGAACCTTCCAGTCAAGGAAAACAACTTGCTGGCTCTGTCAGTGTAGTGCACATGTGGCCCAGAACATCAAAGAGTATAACAGACCTGTTATAACCCCAAAAGCTTGTGAACAGAATATTAAATCAAGCAAAATCTATCCTGGTTATTTAACAAGCTACAGACATCAGTTCTTTACCATGTGCCAGATGAAGAATATGCTGTATTGCTAAGAGAAACATACAACTAGATATTGCATATTGCTTAGCTAGGTCTGAAGTTCAACTACAAGCATTTTAATTGTGGCAAATCATATAGATACTGTATTACTCAGAGTCACTGCACATGCTAATACTCAACTTGCTCACCAATTATTTCTTATTACTAGTAAGAGCAGATACGCAAATCACAAGACTTCTCATTGCGTTAATACGTCAAAAAGACATGTGAGACTAGCCCACAGGAGTAGACGAATAATACATACAGACATTTGTAAGGTAACAACAAAGCTGATAGCTACAAATAAAAGCGAATTTTCAATAAATTGTAGCGAATCACGAAGGTTCAATCAGGAGTCCGGGTTGAAGGCGTTACAAACAAATTGTACACAAACAGAGGTTTTGAAATAAATTATGACCAGTCACAGTCGTAAAAGAACAGAAGGTCCATGAACGAGGTTGACCAAATACCTAGAACCGCGCTACTCGTTCAGGAGCTCGCAAGCCAGAGCGACCCATCGTGGTTACGTATTCCGGAGGCGGCCGTGAATAGGCAACTCGCTGTGAGACCAGCTGGTTGGGCACGTAGGGCATATCGTAACTGTCCACGCTGCCCTTTCCACGACTATGCTTGGCCGAGAACTTACGAATAATGATTAACTGATAACCTCTAAATCAAGGCGAGAAAGAAAACTTACCTCTGAACCGGATGGCGTTGTAACTACTTCTCGTAACACGTTCACTTCAATATCAGAAGGTTGCTGAGGTAGGCAAGTCGAACGAATGGAATGAGTGACTTTCGCGCGTCCTTTTCGAGAGTCTCTGCTTACTTTCGACCAGTCGATTTGTCCAAAAATGCTATGCGTCGTCTGGACCTGCCCAGACGACTGAATAATGGTGAATTCGCCATTTGTGCCTGGTGAACGGTCTGTTCCGCGACCACGCACTACGCGCCGCGTGTTGAGCGTTGCAAGGAGTGAGTTGCTGTAAACTTTTGAAGCGCATGTAAGTAAGGGTCCTGAGTGATTGAGGGGATGGACAGCATACGCTTCGACAGGACAAAGAAGAAGCCAATATACACAAACGTCAGAGGCAGGGTGTCGAACTATAGCACCACATGCTTCAATTAACACTAATTAAGCGAAAATCGAGGGGGAAGGAACTTACGGAGACTAAAGTGGCAATCCCGCAAATGCTAACGGCGCCGATACAGAAATTAATAAGCTTCCGCATCAATTTGCCTAGGCAACCCGGAGGCGGCCAGGCTACATCAAAATGTATAACATACCTTGTGATTGCCCCCGTCTCAATTGAGTATGCGATCAATCCGTTGATGAGGGTGGTGGCCGAGAACGCATTCCGCAGGTGGTGCAAGTAATACGTGAGCGAGGCGGCTATGAGGATATCCGTGAACACGCTCGTCGTCAGAATAGCCGTTGTTATGCCTTTTAGCTTAGGTTGGTCTGCAAATGTCGGGAGACTAATTGCTTTTACGGTGAATATTACAGCGAGCACTAAAAATCAGGATCAGTAAAGAAGGAAAATGCTTTTAGCAGATGAGGATATAACAAACCGAGTATTGCAGCATTCAGAGCCAGCTATGGTAGCGTCGTTAGTTTCCAGGCACTAATCCGGAGAACTGAAGAACCCACAATACTGCCCGTAAGGACGACATTCTTGTGACTGACTGTAGAATATTATCAATCCGACATCCCATGCGGTCATAGAAAAAAGAACACTTACATCTCCACACTCGCATAGCGAAGGCACTTCCCGCGAATCATCAGCAAAGCTAGAAGCACTATCGCATATCAATACTCACGATTTTACTAGCACCGAGATATACGCCTGTTTTGGAGCAAACCCCTTCATGTTAATTTATCTCCACACTGGAAAGGGAACCACGTACTCCTACTAGGACTTGTGCCTGTCATAATGTTCAGTACCACCTCAAGTTTACAAGATACTGCACCTACAATTAGAGTCCATGTTGGCACAAGTAGTGCGAGCGGATCGCTGAACGAGCTATTTCGCCCAGTTAAACAACTGAAGTAGTGTTCTCTCGAGTCCCTCACCTGATCGCATAATGATAGACAACATGCCCTGAAAGAGCAGAATGTATGGTCTCTAAGATGCTGAATCCCAATCAGTTGCGGGGTTTGTGCCATGATGAAAGTAACCAACCACACGAATACAACCTAATGGGTCATGAACAACGTTCAGACATGCAACTTGCGAATTTGGACTGCTAACGTACAAGACACTTGTAGAATAACCGATCCTGCGTATAGCGTTGGAAGTATGTGTATAATTGAGCTAATAGTACACCATAAAGACTATGCAGAAGCAGAGTAAGCTTTAAGTCCTGGTGTAGTTAAGAGCAAGACATACACAGCTGCAACGGCGAAACCAACGAAGGCGGCGCCCAGAGTAGAGTCAAAACTTTGTGTCGCCATTTTTAGCTACTATCCAGCAACGTTCGAGACTTCAAGACCGAGCTAGCGGAAACAAAAGGCGAGGAGAAATGTACCCAGACAGAGAGAAAAAAGGAGAAAAGGAAAGGGAGGAGGTCAGTTGACGGAGTAGAGCTTAAAAAGAGCGCAATGTGAGTTGCAGTGTGGACACTCTGGAGAGTTGAGAGCGACCGATGAGGACTGCAGCCGGGGAGGACCCTGCAATGGCATCGAGGATTCGAGGTACATAACGGTACATACATGCAAAACCGATCGCGCGGACTCATACGAGAAACAATTTTACCCTTCCTTTCGATTTTCCATTGGACGCTCATCGGACCCACAAACTTACGCCGGATCCCGCATTCAGCGATCGTGACATAACTATTCCTTTATGCGGCATCCACTCCCCACAAATTCACTCGGCTGTTGTGAGGGAACCCATATGCTTCCATCTTGTCGAAGATCACAAACCAGGGGAACTGAATTGCTTCATCCTGCTCTTCATTTTATTCATTTCGTTCCGTTCAAGCGATCCTCGTTCTGGTTGGCTGTGCTAGCTGCGATTTGGTCGATGTAGGGCGTAGGAGGAGCGGGTTCAGTGTCGTGAACGGCGACACCTAGTCGTGCCATGCTTAACAATAGAGCTCGATGCACTTCTCTGGCACCTTTCCGTCTTGATCCTTCGACGAGTCCCCGTAAAACGTGGACTGGTACTAGAAGGCGTTTTTTCGCCCCGTGCGGTCCGCTCGTTCCTGCAGTGCCCTGCTTCACTGTATTTTCAGCTTTAGCATCTATCACTTGCAAGCCACCATAAACTAATAGGTGAATAAAGGCACGTGCTGAGGATGCCAACAATGCATACGGTAAAAGATCTTTTTCGCACTGCACTTTTGACGGAATAATCCCTGAAGTCATGGATGACTGTAGAGGCATGAAACTGGGTAGCTGTAAGTCCGATACTGCCCGTTGCACGCCGCGTATCAGAGCCGGGTCTATCGTCTGAAGTATGCGGATATGAGCGTCTTCACTCAATCTTTCGGACAGCGCTCGGCGTTTCAGGGTCTGCGGTTGTAATGCACGGAACTCTTGCACATCCACAATGGGCATGCTCCCCGCCCACGAAGGTTGCTCGCACACTCGCCCAGACGCTCCGTCTTCGGAGTCTTTAGCCTTCCCGCCCTTGATCTTACGATGCGCGGATAGACGTAAGCCGCAAAATGCGCAAAACGAGTCAGGAACTGAAGACCTCTTGGCTGATTCTTGGGCATGCTGAGCAGAACGCGGGAAATGTCCCTCTTTCACCATCCAACGATAGATGTCCATTGGCCCAGAAAATTTGACGCTTGACTCAGGAGATTGAACGCTCTGCGGTGCTGATTCTTCCATTACTCCTGAAGATATGAAGTCGTCCCAAACTGCTCTAGCGCGTCCCCACTGATGAAATAAATATTAATTTAGCGTTGAATCAAACTTTGTTATCTCACTTACTTCAATCGCTCGACGCCGTCCCTCCACCAAGCTCTCAAAATGCTGAGTGGTGAAGGGCAAGAAGTATGGCACCTGCATGAGTTTACGGGGACCTGCATCTGCGTAAAAGTAAGACAACACAGAGAATAGGACGACGGATGGTAAGTATTAAGTCAATCCCGTAAGTTATGAAGGCAATTCAACGGACCTTGTACTGTCATCGGGAAGCGTTGAATAGTTTTTTTCAGGCGCTTTATGTGCTCTGGAAATCAGAAAATATCAGACATTCATAATGTGCTCAGGCTCGACGGTCTCTAACCCGGATCAGATGAGCCTGGTGACTCTCGTGACTTTGTCTCCTGATCAACGGAGGTTGACCGTTTCTCGAGGCCGTCAGACCACTTTACGACCCAGGTGTCGCCTTTCCGAGGTCGTAGCTCGGTATGACGATCGAGTTCGATGTCAAGGACTTGCTCGTCGCCTTTGACGGGTCGAGCAGATTTGCCCATATCCAGCTGGAATATATAAATCTTTGAGATTGTGGAGTAAATATATATGTACACAACGTACCTCGACCCAGTGCTCAATATGAGTCGGACTATTTCGTGTATCCAACCACTCCAGGCTTATCCGCGCCAGGTACGGCTTGTCTGTGGTTGCCATTATACAGTACGGAGGTTCCGAGACAGAGAAAGGAGTGACAAAGGTAGATGGAGGAGGTTCGGTAGCGGATGTCACTGTTACTTTAGCCAGAACGGTACTGGCATGGATACTCTGGAGATGATTTCGTTCACTAAGGCTTATACAAGAGACAATGTAAACTTACGTATGACGCTGTTGAGACAGAAACCATCCACTTGTGTGTAGCCTTGCCTCCTGTACTTGTTTCCTCTACATAAAAAATCGGTTAGGCGCAGTATGTACTGTGAATGTCAATCGAGCTTACCAGTTGGAAGACGCATACTGTAGTCTGTGACTATGAGCCTCACTGGAAAATGGAATCTGCTGCCCTCGTGAGTCCTCAAGGGACCGCCCGATTCTACAGAAGGATCCAACGTATTTTCCGCAATGTTATCTTCAGAGGACGCTTTTTCTTCCGTAGCTTCAGCAGAGAGACTTCGTTCGGCATAAGGCATTCTCCAACCGCGTTTCTGAGCATTGTCATCGACATTGAGAACATCGACTGGCTCATCGGTATCAAAGACGCGTATCTCTCTTTTCTTCGGTGCCCTGCCGAGGAACGGAGCTAACGCTGGTGTATCTTTGTGATGTCCCAATGTCTTCGTGAGTAATGTAGACATTCCTCTCCCATCCTCCTCAGACTTTATCTGTGCGTGGGGTTGCACGACCTTCGCAAGCTCCTGTGCCTCCTCTGTCTCCGGAACAGTTACGATGCCCTCATACGAGCCGACCGCCATCTTAAAAAGACGTTGCAAACTCGCACTCATACCCGTCACCTCCAACCCATGCTCAATCACAAATGTCTGCTCTTCCTCCGGAACAACAACCGCACACGCCTGCACGCATTCGTCATGGCTCCCGAACTCGCGGTGGTGTTTCAGACGGCAGTGGTTCAGCAGACCTTGCAGACGCGGAAAGTCCGAGCGATGACAGTCCGGACACGCAATCTTATACACCATCGTCGGCGTTGCGCTGGTATCGCGCAAGAAAAGGAATTTATTCGGTTCTTTCACAACGCGGTCTTCGTGGTGCAGGTGAACATGCGGGCGGGTCGTATGTCGAGGTCGTACGAACTCTTGAACAGGACTCCGAATAGCTTCATTAGGCTTCGTAGGGAAAGCATGATTGTCTAAGATGCCTAAAGGCTCTGGAGGGTCAGTTGGTAGGAAGACCGACAAAGGTTCCTTTGTAGCCTTGTGCGCAGCAATTGCAAGGTCTGCGAAGCGGTTCGGGGTGTCTTCACTCAAACGTCAGAAGCTGAATATTTCGTACTTCATTTGCATGAATATACCTTTTTTCACCTGTGTATCTGGCAGCTCAATGTGTTTCTCGAGAGCATCTTGCAGGAGGAGAGCCCAATTAAGCCGAGCCTCAACTGTTTCTTTCACCCGGGAGCGTAGGCCAATTTCAAGGTCGATCTCTTCAAGTAGAAGTGCTCGTAACACATCCTCTGCAATTATCTTAGATATTAAGTAACAGAAATTACCAAATGACATATTACCTCTCTCGCTTTCAGTAAACTTGCGCTTTCGTTGGCAGCGCTCATCGAAGTCGGTCATCAAGTTTAAAGGCATCACGTGCCGCGTGTCGCATCTCATCAAATTTCTGCTGAGGTAAATCAATCCTCTAAAATATTATTGCAAAGAAACAAAAGAATAATGAAGAAATAACTAGAGATACAAAGGTACAGACACATGCGAGCAGCAAGATGAAACCAATGAGTGTGGATATGAGCAATCATTATGAAGGAGGATTGGCTGCAGGTGTCGTAGCTATCCGATCCCGTCTAAGCGCAACAGGTTTCGCTGTACCTTCTGCGGGTTTTATGCGTTTTGCGAGTGATTCTGCAGCGTTTTCACCACCAACTTCATCTCGGGCACGTTTTGCTGCTGCACCCATGATAGACACGCCTCCGCTCTCTGCTGCATTAGCAGCAGCAGCTTGGATGACGGCGGCTGGAGCGCCGCCCCGAACAGCACCTCCACGGCCAACACCACGAGCACCTCGTACACCCCGTGCGCCACCACGTGCTCCGCGAACACTCGCATCGGTAGCAGCAGCTCCCGCGGCTGCTCCAGCGACACTCAAAGTCGGTTTTCTCGGAAGAGCTGCGGGTGTTGCAGCTGTTGACGGGCCGGCTGCGGGAACGGCAGCAGTCCCAGTTGCACTGGTCGTCGTACCACCTGAGACTGCCCCACCACTGCCTGAAGCAGTAGACGCATTTGTTGCCTGAACGGGTTTCGCTGGAATGGAAGCAGCGGTTTTCACAGGAGTGGCTACAGAGCCTGGGGGAATAGTAGGTGCATTAGCAGGAATAATGCCCGCCTCACGCCAAGCCTTGATTTGAGCCTCGAGATGTTTGACGTTCGCCTGGGCTTTTTGCAACATGCCATCCTTTAATTTTATCTTCGTCACAGATTCCATCCTTCCACGCTCTGTCGCCGCCTTGAGAGCTTGTTCGTGCTCCTCTTGCGATATCGCATGCTGGTTACTCTGAGAAGCAGTTGTAGTTGCAGCGGCCTTTGTGGCCTCTTCACGAGCCTTTTCGATTGCGTTCTTGAGTTCTTCCTCATGCTTGGCGGCAAGTCTGGCTTCCAATGCACGAAGCTCCTCTGCGTGGCGGGCAGCGACCTTAGCAGTATCTGCACCCGGATTTTGAAGCTCAGCACGAAGCTTCTCTGTTGCTTCCGTCACAGCCTGGTCTTGTTCCTGTTTGTGTTTTTCCGTCAGGGCGGCTAACTTCTCTCCATCTGCAATCCTCCGTTTTTCATTCTCAGCTATACGAGCCTGGAACTTCTCCTGTATCAAAAGAGTAATAAGTAAACGCAATATCAGACTTGAAAAAGAATAGCCTACATTCTGGAGACGGATATTCCTTGCTTCATTCAGAGCCTTTGCGACACGTTCTTCCGCGCTCTTCGCACGAGTAAGCGCTTCGTCCCGAGCTTTCGCTAGTTCAGCCTTCTCCGTCTCAAGCTGTTGACGAACTTGAGCAACGTCAGCGGCTTCGGGTGCAGACGCCTCTGCACTCTGACCGGATGCTTTTTCAGCGAGAAGTTTATCTCGTTCTTCGCGAAGCGCAGTCTATAAAGAACGTGAGTAAAGCAAAACGTCACTCTAAATGAAAACTAAATTCACCATAGCAGCCTCGTAGTCCGCGGCAGCCTTAGCTGCTTTACTCATCTCTTCAGCCAATAGTTTCGCAGACGTCTCCTTCTCTCGGGTAGCAGCCGATAACTGAGTTTTGAGTGCCTCAAGTTCAGCATTTGGCTCCGAAGGTGCCATAGCGGGAGCCTGACTAGCGAGGCGTTCCTTCTCAGCAGTCAACTCCTTGACTTGCTTTCGTAGTTCCGAGACAATCTCATTAAGTTTGGCGATCTGTTGGTTCAGTTGCCCAAGTCGCATGCGAGACTCCTGTCCAAGCGAGTTGTACTTGGTCCGGAATTCAGTGAGGGTGTTCTGCGTGTCTTCAAGCTGGATGAAGAATGCAAGTTTCAGTACAACGCTTTGAGTTTTGACAAAATACTTACGAGTTTTGCCTTGGCTTCAGCCTCTGCAGTATAAGCCGTCTTCTCTTCCTCTGCTTTGCGCAGATCAATTTGTAAGTCTTCAATCTCGTCTTTGAGAGCTTGAACGTCATTCGGATCAATGCGGTCGTACTTGAAGCAAGTCAGTGTATGTCTCTTTGATCAACGAAAAAGAACGTTCTAATGACGTACCTTTGTCAAAAGTTGGCTGTTCCGTTCCTTCCATTGACGATTCTCGTCTTCCAACCGCTGGATTTGACCATTCTTTGCCTCAAGCTCGGCACGCAAGGTCTTCGCCTCCTCTTTGACTGGACCAAGCTCAGATTGTAACTGATTCAGTGTTGACTCGAGTTGACGCGCTTTCCTGGCGTGGGCATCACTCTCTGCTCTAAGCGTCGCATTGCTTTCGCGGAGGATGTTCAGTTGGTTAATCCTCTCTAGGAGCTCAGCGTGTTCTGCAGAGTTCCCAACGGACTTCGCAGCTTCCTCGCGCTCCTAGAAGCCATAAGTCAGGTCAGTATATAATGATAACCAATAAGTGTCAGGAAACAAACATTAGACAGAGTTGTTCTGGTCTCCTCCAAAGCTTGAGCAAGATGTTCGATCTGGGTCTTCTGCCTTGCACTCTCCTGTTTAGCGAGCTCAAGCTGTAAATCGACGATCTCCTTCTCCTTCCGGAGATAGGCGATGACGGAACGCAGTTCTGCGATTCGACCATCTGTATCGTCGCCTTCTCCAGCTTCGGGAACATTGACGTCTGAATCTGCGGCCTGGCGTATACGAGATGCCTGTGAGCTAACGGACTCGAGATGCTGGTGCAGGGTAGCATTTTGTGATGCTAGATCCTTTGAGCTAAAAAAAAAACATCACATAAACGACACATTTAATACGAATTCCTGTAGCGTTTAACGTGACGAGACTCACCGAGCTGTGAGGTCAGCAATCTCCTTATTGAGTGCATCTCGCTGTTGACTCCAGCTGGCCTCAGAAGAAGTAAAGTTCGCCTGCGCAGTCTCAGTCTGCAGCACCTTCTCTCGGATAGTCGCGCGGGCTTCAGTCAGTTCTTTCTTGAGTCCGTCGACTGCTTTGATCGACTCGGCATGAGCAACGACCTCCCGAGCATACTTCTCTTCGGCGGCCTGTGGACGAAAACGTGAGCGGAAATAAATGTTTCATGTCAGAATGCAGACGAACCTTAGCGCGCTCTATTTGCTCGCGTATATCATTCTCACGAGAAGCCTGATCAGTTCGTGAACTCATCTCGGCATTCGTGATATCAACAATGGTGTCCTCCAATGTTTTCTTATCTTGCATGAATGCAGCACGCTCCTTTTCTAGTACTTGTTGAAGTTCGGTGTTTTTGGAGTTGAGTCGGTCTAACTCTGCTTGCATCGAAGCAATCCTCTCCTCCAACGTCTTTTGTTGAGCCTGGAAACCGATTAGAGATCAATATTCAGTGTAATGTTTACAAATGCAATGTACCTCATATTTTGCGATCTGGGCCTCAGTCGAAGCCTTAAATTCATCATGCGTCGTGGAGAGAGATTGGAGAGCGGCTTCGCTAGCTTGACTGATTTCCTGGAACTGCTGAACGTGACTACGAGCCGCTGCAAGATCCACTTCGGCAGCCTTTAATGCACCACTACGCAATTAAGTCAGTATTGTAAAGAGAAAATGCAAGCGGTCTCCGTACCGAAGCTCAGCGATTTCAGCTCTTAGGTCCTGATCGGACGCGGCATCATCAGAAGTTGACTGAGGAATAGTGCTAGTCGTTCCAGTAACTGAGGTACGGCGTTCGTAGACGGCAAGCTTCTCTTCGTTCATCTGTACTTGCTTAACGAGGCCATCAACACGTTCCTGGAGGTGCTTCCGGCTTGTCTCAGCTTCAACCAGTGCTTCACGTGCTTTAGAGAGATTTTCAACCTGAAGGAATAGCTGGTAAGCACAAGAGCCGTTTGACGAAGCAATAAGCATACCGAACGGTCAATCTTCGTCCGCAACTCCTGCACTTCGATATCCTTCTGCAGCGAGGTTTGACGGCCAGTGTCACGCTCATGAGATAACTGGGTGCGGAGATCTTGGCTAGAAAAACACAGTCATCAACGCATGTTGGAGATAAACCTCAACGAATTTGGAGAATACGAACGATTGGGTCTCTAGCGATTGAATTTGAGCTTCCAGCCTTCTCCTATCGCTTTCATTCGCCCGGTCGATATCGTTATGCATCTTTTGCACGTTGCCGATTAAGTCTGCCATACGCGATCGTTCAAGAGAAAGGACCTTGTTCTCGTCGAGCAGGCGAGTTTGCACATTCTAATATATATGGTTAGTTTCAGCGAGTCTCGCCATAGCCAGCTGCTCACCTCCCAGATTTTCTTCTCCGCACGAAGGTTTGAGCACTCGTTCCGAAGACGTTCAATCTGGCTGTTTGCCGTAGACAATTCTTCCGAAGCATGGTTACATGCAATATCCAAACGCATATACTGATCGTGAAGTTGCTGGTTACGCTTTTGCAAATTCTGTGCTTCACGCTCATGTAAGACGTATTGCTCTTGTGCCATCCGATATCGTTCTAGAAAGGGAATAAAAGGTTACGCTATGTACACATGAAATGAAAAGAATGCTACCCACCATTGAGGAACTCAATCTTAGCGTTCGCCTTTGCTAATGCCGCACCCAACTGGCTGGCTTCGCGCTGATATCGCAAGACCTCATCGCGGAGCTTCACCGTATCAACGCCCATCTCCTTCCGGTACGCCTCAAAGTTACTGCGAACTTCTTCTAACTCCTTCTCCAGGTCTGAGGGCTCGCGAACAATACCGTTGATTAGAGGTGATGTAGCCTGCGATCGAACGTCCTCAACAGACGGGACCGCTCCACTACGCTCGTAGCGCGCAAGCATGGTCTTCAACATATCCCGCTCCTTGGCGTACGCTTGGGCCGTAGCTTGCTGGCTGCTCTGCATGTTCTCCAACTGAGCCTGCAACGTCTGTATCGCTTCGTGAGCTTCACGAATTGCCTCGGCCTGCTCAGTCTCGAGTCGTTCTTTATATGCCCGCTCTTCGGCTTCCATCTTCGCACCCAGTTCGCGCACACAGAGCAAGAGCTTCATGTTCTGCTCTTGGAGTTGTGGAATCGATCGGAAAAGAACGAGATTATTGGTAATGACGTCCTCAATATTCACTGCCGGTGCTACGTTCTCCATGTCCTCGTCTGATAGCAAAGTGGCGTCATGCATACGACCAAGGTCTTTGAGAAGGGATTGGATCTGTCGGCCGAGGTCTGCTCCCTGCTGAGTTAACCTAGAGTTCTCTTCCTGAGATTTTTGAAGCTTCTTGTTGGTGTCATCTAGTTTAACCAAGCAGTCGTCACGTTCGGCAAGAGCCTGAGACAATTGTGCAGCGAGTTGATCTGACTCCGCTTGCACTCGTTCAATCTCTTTCTTCTGTCGCGAGAGAGCGGGAGTCTGCAAACAAAGTGAGTAAATGCCTTGCTTACAAAAACTAATGAACAAACGTACGGCCTCTTCAAGCTGAGCAAGAACGTCAGTGAGAGTCCGGTCCAAATTCTCCATGTCTCGAGTCTTAATCCTGAGCTCGCCCTGCATCTTGACGTATTCCGCGTAGACTTCGGTGAAGGTCTTGCCACTCTTCTGCATACGATTAATCATGGATATACCTGGACTGAAGCTGAACAGATTCTCCGAAGATTCGTCTGGCGAAGCCTGTTCTCGCGGGGGTACCGGAAGCTCACCAGCGTTTATACAATCCAAGACGCCCCTTAATTCCTCCAATTCGTCTTCAAGTTGTTTTGATCTCCTCTGTTCCTCCTCCAACGCGTCGCGCAACTTCTGCTCGCTAGCGGCAGCCTTCTCTCCCAAGCCTTCCCAGTCTTTCTCTATACCGGCGACCAACTCCTTCGCCTGATTCTCCCTTTCTTCCATCATTTGCACGAGTCGACGGAGATTTGCAGCTTCGCTGGAATATTTGGCCTCCTGATCGGCGAGTTGGTTCGTCAAGTCATGCACCTTCTGCAATGTTTGCGACAGCTGCTGAGATTGCGTATTGTGGGATGTTTGGAGAGTACGCAGAGTACTGAGGGTTTGGTTGTGCGTCTGCTTGACTGAGTCGAGTTCGGCCTGTAACTGCACCAGTTCTGTATGCTTGTCACGGCGATAATTCGAGTATTCTTCAGATTTCTTGGCCAGTTCCGCGTTCGTACGTTCATTTTCGTCCTTTGCCAGCTGCAACTGATGAGTAAGGGTGTCAACCTTAAACTGTTGATCGTGTAAATATGAATAAACGACGCCGCTTCATAGTCCATGATTCACTCACTGCCGTTGATCTCTCCGAAGATCGCACGTCTCGAAGGCTTGACTCTACTTCCTGTGCCTCCTTCCGTGCAACCTTGAGGTTTTCACGTAACGTTGTAATCTCCTCGTTCCTCTGTGCAACGTCTTCTTGAAGACGACTGACGACCCCCAGTAATTCTCTCTTCTCCCTTTCCACGTCTTCGACCTTTTTCTTCAGGGCAACGACTTCATGCGAGGATGAGGACTGAGTTGTGCTAACTTTTTCAAGTTGCGACTGTAGCTCGGCTCGGGCAGCGGCTATAGTCGAACGTACAGAGGTATTAAGAGCCGGGAAAGTTAGCAATACACTTAACACGAACCTATTTCTTCTTTCTCAGCCTTCACGGCTTCGAGTTCGTCCTGAACGTCCTTCACATTCGTATCGAGTTCGGAAAGCAAACTCTCTTTATCATGCAAAGCCTGGTCTAGTTCGATCTCCTTCCGCTCTGCCTCTGCCTCAAGTACCTCAATATTCTGTTCTTTCTCATCGAGCTGCGCGGCTTGATTCAGTATGAGTTTGTAGCACTGGACAATAAGGACTGGAGACGGAGTTTCAAGGTTTGCTTCTGGAAACAAGCCACCAAGGGCTGCAAGGTCGACATCATTCAGCAATGGACCGAGAGCTAATGCGGCAGCTGGAGGCGGCGTCGAACGCGCTGAAGTGTTGTCCGCCGCGTCAACTTCGACTTTCTTGCTTCTCCGTCTCGGAGGCATCGTCTTACTGCGACGCTCGGCGAACTAGTTGAGAATGGTGGTGAAGCTACGCAAGGGTGTCGCCAGCACCGTTGCGAGCAGGGATGTGGTTGATACTGGTACTGGAGCCTCAAAGGGTGCAGCTCGAGCAAGTGTAAGTAAGACGGCACGTCACATGTGGCTTTTGTGTGACAAACAAACAAATTATGTAATATTGAAGGCGTGAGACGTCTCTTCGAAGTCTTTCACGTTTGCGTTAAACGTTCGTACGACTTCCCAGTTACAACTTGATGTATATTACTTTTCTGCGGTTGTAACCGAAGTGCATCACGCAACGAGTCTGAAGTATGTACACTTGATCGAGTGCTGCCCTCAGGTTGCGGAGCGTTGACGGGCAGCCAACTCGGTGCACAAAACGTCATATGGAGATTCACATAGCATTTCATTCCGAGTAACCAAGGAAATCGACGGACGATAAAACTAAAGCATTTGTCCTAAATAAGCAAGCCTAAACGCATTCTCGGTGGTGAGGGATGCTAATATGCCAAAGATGCAGCGTGAGCACAACAGACTCAAATGTGCAAAGATATAACAAACAAACTTACAGTGCTCAGAAGCTTGTCCTAGCCTTCTTTGCTACTGGTAGGTTCAAGCCTCGGATTAAACCCCAGTTCGAGCCGATAAGAATAGTGTGAGAGTTCCACGAAGGAGAATGTTGGACTGTCTTTGAGTTGTCCATACTCACAAAGCACAGTATCAAGCTCCTTGTTAAACCCAATGCGTTCGAAAACATTACAATACACAGGTAATTTTTTTTTAAGTGCTCAACCCCCCTCTGCATTGTAAAGGAGCACTCGTTTTCCAGTCCTGCCATTACACCCAAGATTTTCTGATACTAGACAATTAAATCAGTACAAACTAGTAAGTGACAAACTCAGTACTGACAAGACAAGGTAGTGAGTCAAGGAAGCCACCATTACTACAACATTGAGCTCTGTGTACAATGTATATTCCACAATAGAACCACTGTGTCAGCTTTAGATAGTAAGGTGTTGCCTCATAAACAAGTTCAAAAGGCCCTTTCATAGTTCCTAAATGGCAAGTACCATCACGAAAAAGTTGCAACAAATGTAATTAATAATAGCAAATGTAATGTAATAATGTACTTATATATTAATTACAATTCAAAATTATAATTATACTTTGCTTGTAATTGAAATGTAACAACTAGTATATAAATGTAATACTT